TCCAGCGAGGCTGTCCTTCAGAAATGAGGGAAAAATAGTGTTTTTTCCAGACAAACAAAAACTGCGGGAGTTCACCACATGACCATCCCTACAAGAAATCCTCATGAAAGTACTGTATCTGGAGTCTGAAAAACAATAATCACTACCATGAATACACAAGAAAGAACAAAATCCTCTTGTAGAACAAAAATCCAAATAAGAAATAGAAAGAAACTAAGTCTTGCCACTACAAAAAACCATAATGACAATGTAAGAATGCCCCTGCCTTATTTCTGATTTTAGTAATTTTGGTCTTCTCCTTTCTTTTCTTGGTCTGGATAAAGGTTTGCAAATTTTGTTGATCTTTTTAAAGAATCAACTTTTAGTTTTATTGTTTTTAATTCCTTATTTCATATATTTCTGTTGTAATCTTTGTTATCTTATACTTATATTTGCTCTTGGTTTAGTTTGCCCTCCTTTTTCTATTTTCTTAAGGTAGAAGTTAACATTAACGATTTGAGATTTTTCTTATTTTTAATATAGAAGTTTACAAGTATAAATTTTCCTCTGAGCACTGCATGAGCCCTGCATCCTATAAATTTTGATATGTTGCACTTTGATTTTTATCTCAAAGTACTCTCTAATTTCCCTGATATTTCTTTTTTCCCATTGTTTACTTAGGAGACTGTTGTTTTATTTCTACATGTTTGTGAATTTTCTAAAATTCCTTGTGTAATTGTGGTCAGAGAACAATTTTTCTATGATCTTAGTCTTTTAAAATGTATTAAGATTTCTTTTGTGGCCAAATAGACACACACACGCACACACACACACATCTCAATATAAAATTAGATGTAGGGGCCATGACGGTGAGGGGTCTTGCAACTTCAACCTCATTAGCTTCATGGTAAATCTACCTCTGCTGGAGCTCTTCCCATACAGTCCATAGAGAATTTCCCCAGTATTTTTTCTTTTCTTTCTGTCTTTTTTTTTTTTTTGGTGGTTGGCTGGTACAGGGATCAAACCGTGGATGTTGGTGTTATCAGTACCATGCTCTAACCAATTGAGCTAACTGGCCAGCCCTCCCATTACTTTTCATAATGGTTGCCTACTATTCCATTGTGTGGATGTGTATGTCATCTGCTTTTGCTATAATGCCTGACTTTTTTGCGTCTAGACCCTTGGTTAGTCAGCACTCTCTTCTGGGACAAACAATGCCCAGGAGTGGTGACTACTTCTCTGAAGGCATTTAGCACAACCAATCATATTCTTTGTCTTAAAACTACTTTCTGTTTTGCCTTCTTATATATTATTTTCTTTGTTTGCTTTTGTTTTCCCTCCTGTCTTCTTAATAACTACCTCTCAAAATTCATTTTTAGTCCTTGCTCTACCTACAGTAAATGCTTAAAGGTATAGTAAGTGCCTTAATATTCTATCTTAGATCCTATCCTCAATCTGTGGTCTATATCCTGTTGTTTATTTAGTTTATCATGGTTTCATTTATCAACTATATTCATTAGTGACTCAAATATGCATTTCTATTTTGTATCTTTCTCTTGACTTTCAGACCTATATTTTTAGTTGCTGATTTGATTTCCTCATTAAGATGAGCCATGAAGGACTAGCCACTTGGTTCAGCTGGTTAGAGTTCAGCCTTGTAACACCAAGGTCAAGGGTTCAGATCCCTATACCGGCCAGCCATCAAAAAAAGAAACAAACAAAAAAGATGAGCCATGGGTAGCTCAAAATCAATGCATTTAAATCTTAATTAATGATTTTTCATACTTCTAACCTGATTCTCCTCCTTTATTTGTAAACTTGATTGATATTACCATCACCTACCAAAACAATTAATTCATTAAAAAAGTATTTATTGAGTGCTTCAAACATGTGAGGCTCTCTACTAAGTTCCAGAAGTACTGTTCTTCCTTTAGCCTTTCTTCTACTACTCTCAATCAATTAGTACCTGAATCCTATTGATTATATCTCCTGAATATATTACCTCTTTTCTCTATATCCAGTGCAGTGCTTTAATTTAGGAACTTAACACCTCTTACTTATTATTTAAATAGTCCCCTGCTAGTCTATCTACTTTAGTCTCTACTTCAATCCATATTCCATGTTGTAACTGTAATTATCTTCCTAAAAAACAAACCTAATTATAGCAGAGACCCCTAGATTCCCACCTAATATCCATTTTCCCTTTCTTCTTTGGTAACAGACCCTATAAAGTTAGAGATGGCAATATAACCACATTTTAAAAAACTGTATTTTTCAGCTTCCCTTGCAAATGGAGTTGCCAATAGATAAAAACACATAGGCTTCTAGGAAAACAATTTAAAGGGAGCTCAGAGGTATACCCTTTTATCTTTTACTCTTCCCTTGCAAATGGAGTTGCCAATAGATAAAAACACATAGATGGGGGCTTCTAGGAAAACAATTTAAAGGGAGCTCAGAGGTATACCCTTTTATCTTTTACTCTTCCTTCTTCTTGCCTAGAACACTGACATGATGGCTAGAGTTCTAATAGGTACCATGTGACCATGAAAGTGAAGATATAAACCATATACTGAAGATGGTTGTGCTGAGAGACAGAAGGAGTGTTATTCCCCACTGACATTGCATAACCATGCATACCAGCTCTTAACTGCCTACCTCAGGACTTCATAGAGAAAAACAAACCCCTATCATGTCTGGGCAGTACTTACATTACTACATTACTGCCCTTATTTACAGTAAGATCCCTTATTGACACAGTAATGGCTTGCTTCCCAGTTAAAAAAAACTGAAAGTGAACTGTATTTTGCATAAAAATGAAATTCCTAGCATGGTATTTTAAGCTCTTTGAGAACTGGCTCCAACTTGTTTTTTCTAGCCTCATATCCACTTTTCTTCTCTTTTTTCCTATCTTATGTATCAGATACACTGAAATATATAATTTATTTGCACAAGCTGTTCCTTCTGTCTGGGATGTCCTTTTACTTTCTCTTTGCTTGGCAAAATGCTCATTCTTCAAGATTAAACTTAAGTCATTTGTCCAGGAAAGATGTCCCTACATAGGTTTAGTGTTCTTTCCTCTGTGCTCTTATAGTACTTTGCACATTATTCTCCTACCATAGCAATTATCATTATATTATCAACATTAATTGTGTATATTACTCTCATCCTCAAAATAGGTTGTGAGGTCTTTAACGGTAGAATAAAATCAGATTTCTCTGTATCTCAACTTAGCTTAGGGCTAAGTACAACAGAGTACAGCTTCTGTTTGCTGAATACATAAAGGTGTTGCCTATCCTTTTTCTTTATGAAGCTTTGATATGTTGTTGTTAATTCTGTCTTACTATTTAAGGTATAAAAAAATATAGATGTGATACCAAAGAACCAACCATAATCATATTTAAATTCTTAACTGACTCCAGATCTTAAATTGTTGGATTATATTACTTTGTAGACTCTCTTTTTTGTTCTGCCAATCTCTCAAATATGAATTTGAACCAAACTGAGAATAAAATGCCAAAAGAAACGTGACACTAATTTCTTGAACCTAAATGTTAATTTTTATTTTTATTAAACTACTTACTAAATCAATCTAAAAAAGATAAAACATTGTAAACCAATTTGAAGTGGAATCAAACTTATGAGATTTCCAAATTTTCTAGTAGAACCAACAAAATATTCTCTCCAAATTAAACCTAAATCAAATTACTATTTTTCATTTGGTTAAAGTCCTGTTACTCAAAAGGCATACTGGGTCATTTCAGGCTGAATTTCCTCTTTGTTTCTTAATTTATCATTTTATTGTCTACTCATATCAAATGTGATTATAACTTTAATTTTTATTTTCATGTTGTTCTAGAAATTAAGGCACCTGCTCTCCTCCGCTGTGAAAGAGGAATATGGGCACGTTGGAATTTTTCAGTAACTTCTTCAAACTTCTGTTTTCTTTGTTGAAGTATTTTTTCTCTGATTTGGTGTTCTCTTTCTTCTTGTTCTTTTCGTTTCTCTTCAAAGGCTCTATATTTAAAACATAAAGTAGATAACAGAAATAGGCAATAAGTTTTACAAATCTCAACACAGGACATAGTTTCAAAAGAATGTATTTATTGTATAATAGTGTTTTTGTATTTCAAGATTTTACTTAGAAACAACAAATTTTAGATTTTTAAAAACAGGTCCTTGGCCATGAATTTAAATATCATTGTAAATGGTAATTTCAGAACCATATCCAGGTCTTTTCCAACTAAGAGATGGCTCTATGATGAGGCCCTTTCTAATTTCTGGCAGGCCTTCACCTCCATTCCTACCTCTCAAGCCCTGCTATGGAAAAATCCTTTTCTAAGAAGCTATGCTATTTTCTGTAATATGAAGAACTAATTCATTGGTGAAAGAAGCAGTCTTGCCAGAGCAATTAGGCAAGAAAAAGAGATAAAAGGCATCCAAATTGGAAAAGTAAAAGTAAAATGATCTGTATTCATAGATAAAATGATCTTATTATATGTAGAAAACCCTAAAGATTCCATACAAAACCAGTACAAATAAATGAATTAAGCAAAATTGCAAGATACAAAATCAACACACAAAAATCATTGTGTTTCTGTACATTAACAATGAACAATCCAGAAAAAAAGAAAACAATTCCATTTACAATAGCAGCAAAACAAAACAAAACAACAACAACAACAACAACAAAACTTAGGAATAAACTTAACCACGAAGGCAAAATACTTTACACCAAAAACTCCAAAAAGTTGCTGAAGGAATTTTAAAAAGACACAAATAAATGGTAAGACATCCCATGTACATGGATTGGCAAACCTAATATTGTTAAGATGTCAATACTACCCAAAGTATCTGCAGATTCTATCCAAGTCCTATCAAAATAACAATCACTTTTTTTTTTTTCGGAAATAGAAAAATCTATCCTAAAACTCATATGGAATCTCAGAGGACCCTGAATAGCCAAAAATAATCTTCAAAGAAAAACACAAAGTTGGAGGTTTCATTCTTCCTGATTTCAAAACTTACTACAAATCTATGGTAATCAAAGCAGTGTGGTACTGGCATAAAGACAGACATATAGAGTAATGGAATAGATTAGAAAACCCAGAAATAACCCCCCCATATACATGATCAAATGATTTTCCACAAGGGTGAGAAAACCATTTAATGAGGAAAGGACAATTCTTTCAGGAACAGGTGCTGGTAAAACTCAATATCCACATGCAAAAGAATAAAGTTGGACCCTTACCTTACAGCATATACAAAAATTAAATCAAAATAGATCAAAGATATAAACATAATAGCTAAAACTATAAAACTCTTAGAAGAAAACATTGGGGAAAAGCTTCATGGCATTGCATATGACAATAACTTCTTGGATATGACACCAGCAGCACAGACAACAAAAGAAAAATAAATTGGACTTCATCAAAATTAAAAACTTCTGTGCATCAAAGGACACTATCACCAGAGTGAAAAGGCAACCCAAGGAATGGGAGAAAATATTTGAAAATTGTATATCTGATAAGCGTTGATATCTAGAATATGTAAAAACTCCTACAACTCAACAACAACAAAACAACCTAATTACAAAATGGCAAAGGACTTACATAGACATTTCTCCAAAGAAGATACACAAATGCCAATGAGCTTAAGAAAAGCTGCTCAACATCACTAATCATTAGGAAAATGCAAATTAAAACCACAATGAAATACCACTTCACACCCATTGGGATGGCTATTATAAAAACAAACAAAAAAATCAAATAAACAGAAAATAACCATTGGCAAAGATGTGGAGAAACTGAAACCCTTATGCATTGCTGGTGGGAATGTAAAATGGTGCAGTTGCTATGGAAAATGGTAAGATGACACCTCAAAAAATTAAACAGAATTACCATATGATCAAACAATTCCGCTTCTAAGAATATAACCAAAAGAAGTGAAAGCAGGGGTTCAAACAGATATTTGTATGCCCATTTTTACAGAGGCATTATTCATAATAGCCAAAAGGTGGAAGCAACCCGTGTCCATGGATGGACAAATGGATGAACAAAATGTGGCTATATACAATGGACTATTATTCAGCCTTAAAAAGAAAGGAAATTTTGATACATGCTACACATTCTTGAAGACATTCTTCAAGACATTCTTGAAGACATTCTTCTATGTGAAATAGACCAGTCACAAAAGGACAAATGTTGTATGATTCCGAATAAACCTTGAAGACATTCTTCTATGTGAAATAGACCAGTCACAAAAGGACAAATGTTGTATGATTCCACTTATATGAGGTATCTACAGTAGTCAAATTCACAGAGACAGAAAGTAGAATGGTGTCTACCAGGGGCTGGGGGAGGCTATGGGGAGTTAGTGTTTAATGGGTACAGAATTTCAGCTGAGGAAAAAGAGAAAGTTCTGGAGAGGATAACGGCGATGGCTGTACAATGATGTGAATGCATTTAATGTAATCTTTGAAGAGAGAGGAAGAAAACAGAGGTAATTAAATGTAGGCATTAACAGAGTATTCTACTTTCTGTTGGGAAAAGGAAGCTGCTGTTTGCTTAGCAGGAAATGATAGAGTCAACTCAGAAAGTTCTAAATTCCAAATTTATATGCTCTTACTTGACATTAAAATTTTATGTCAAGTGGACTAAAACATAAGTGCACTCCTGTGGTAGCTAGTCTTCAAAGATAGTCCCCAATGAAGCATGAATATGTAGTTTCCTCCCCTCTAATCAGTCTGGCCCTGATTAAGGCCAGAACCTCTTAGAACCAATGGAATGTTACTGAAGTGATGCTGTGTGACTTCCCAGCCTACATTAGAAGTTTTGCAACTTCCAACTTCGTCTTTTGGAATGCTCATTCTAGAAAAAGCCAGCCTCCGTGTAAGAATTTTG